GGGCCTGGATCCAAATTCTTATAACTAACCCCCCCCNTGGCCTTGAAACCCAATCTGTTATAGGGTAGAGTATAGTTCCAAATTCATGGAACCGACCCCCATCTTGGTAGGTTCCAAGGTTTAGGGGTTTACTCTACTCAAGCCAACCTAGTAAACTAGCCTTAGTGGAACCAAATTGCCTTGAAATAAATCCCAAAATACTTTTGAGATGAGAAAGGATGAGATGAGAAAAGGAAGATTTTGGTGGGATGGGAAAGGATGAGATGAGAAAAGGAAAATGGGTGAAAATTTTCCACGTTCCATTGTTTGGTTGCAAAAGGGATAATAGTGGGAAAATCAACCCTAATAACAATTAATTAATTAATTAATTAATTAGTTGATCAGTAATATTTTTATTATTTTATATTTTACTATTAATATTTTACTAATTAGCTTATAATTAATTAATACTAGAATTAGTTAATTAATTATTAACTAAGAACTAATATTTTAATTTTTATTTAAACTTTACTTTATTAATATTTATTATTATGAGCATTGAGAGATAGCTCACCTTAGGTTGGATTTGGAGTCGCCACCCATCAGTTTAAAAAATGGAGGTGATGGGACCTCCGGAAATGAACTTCAATAGCATTTTTGTTTTAATAGTGACTCCAAAGCCCGAGGCACAGGTTAAACCAGTCTGAGTAAGAATCATATGGGAGAGGAAAGGGATTAGGCAACCCTCTCCCGAATCTAATAGGTGGGGCCCACATGACAATCCCAAACAAGTACAATCACAAAGGAAATAGTCATTCAATCAAGCAGACAAATATAGGATGAAACATCATAAAAGGAGTCCCCTAATTATTTTTTCATCTTTTCTTATTTTATTCCTTTTACTTTTTGAATTTAATTTTATGTATTCTCTTATGAAAGCCTATTTGATCTTATTTCTTTCATGGTTTTTTTTTATTTTTCTTTCCTTTTTTAATAGTTTTCTATTTTTTCTATTTTTATTTCATTTTTTATTACTATTTCCCTTTCAATAACTTATTCTCCCTCTTGTTATCTATATCAGTCCTAATATAGCCATCCCACTTCATCCCTCAATCTAATTTATTTATGATTTATTTGCTATTTTTTATTTCTTATTTTGTATCCTTTTTTATTATTAGATTAATTTATCCTCCCCAACCAATTATCCTTCTCTTTTGAATTTGCAAAATAAAGGGATTGCCTTAATTGCTTCACAGCTTCTTCTTGGCTAGGGGTGGCCATGAATCGAGCTCTTCACAAGCTACTCGAGCTTAGCTCGACTCGGCTCAGTTCGGTTTCAACCGAGCTTCGAGCCAAGCTTGAGCCTAATATATCTCAGCTCATGAGGCTCATGAGCCGAGCTCAAATAACTACATACATACATACATACATACATACATACATACATACATACATACATACATACATACATGCATACATATAATAATAATAATAATAATAATAATAATAATAATAATAATAATAATAATAATAATAATAATAATAATAATAATAATAATAATAGAAAATTATAGAAAATAATAATATTGTTAAAACCATTGGATATAGATCTAATAATAGAATTTATTGGTGAGAAATATCATAAATATATCATTTAATGAGAGAGAATGGATGTTGGCACCTCAAATATATGACTTAATGTGAAGGGTTTGAATGGGGTGAAAAATAATAGTTCAAGTTACATTTTTCCCTTACAATTAAAAAGGGACTAAATTCAAATTACATTTTTGACATTTTTTTTATATTTCCATGTGTATAAGAATAATTCTTATTTATGGCACTTGTTTTGTTTAATATGATGAATATACAATATTGGAGATGCACCATAATGTTTTTATTGCAAACTCTATATATTTTTTTCATTTTTTCATTTTATCTTTTTTTTAATTATTTAATTATGACATCAAATATTGACATATTTGACCTAAAAGTTGAACTATTGACCTCGACCAAATAGGAAATCAATTTCATTTTTTGGTAGGTTTTAAAATTTGTATTTCATTTTCATTATCAATAAAAAGAATTCTTCTTTATAACTATTTAATATGATTAATATAAAATATCAAAGAAATGGCCCATTTTTTCTACATTTTTTTATTTTGTGAATTTATTTCTATTTTAAATAATTTATTATTTAACTATGACATCATGGATTCACCCTATTGATTCAGATGGTTGAATTGGCTTACCTACCACTTGGAAGGAAGAATGGTTTCATTTTTTTTTTTAATTTTCAAAAATGATAAATTGCTGAAACCTCCATTGAAGTTTTTAATTGTTGATGCAATCTCCCCTAAAGTTTGGTAATTGCAATTGCCTCCCTTGGACTTTCTAATACAGTTGCAAGTACACCCCCTCTCTTAGAATCCTCTAACAAGAGACACACAAATGTCCAAAATTCCCATACAATTACTATTAAGGTTAGTTTTTACATAACAAACAATACAAACTTTAAGAAAAAAATGGAAGGGTTTCGGGTAGTGATTGACATGAAGGAAAAATTTGGAAAATAAACATTTTAGTCAAAGTAACTACATGGTTATTTTGGACATTTTTATGTCTCTTATTAGAGGATTATAAGAGAAGGGGTCTACTTGCGACTCTACATGTTAGAAAGTTCAGGGGAGGTGATTGCAATTACCAAACTTCAGGGGAGGTTTCAGCATTTTACCCTTAAAAAAGCATGGGTTTTATATTGCTAAAATGTATTTAATAGAAATTTAATTATTAGAATCTATTAAATAAAAAATACCTTAAATACAATATTTAATGTAAGAGAATGTGAGTTAATACCTCAAATATAAGACTTAATGAGAGAGAATTAAATGATGTGAAAAATTGTAAATGATATTACATCATTAGCACTCAAAATTAAAAAGGGACTAAATTCAAAATTACGAGTAGTTTAGTCAAAAAGGAAGTTCCTCACCCTTATTATTGTTTAATATGTAAAATATATGAGATGCTAAAAATGTTCCCAAATTTTTCTTTAATTTATATATTTGTTTTTGCATTTTATCTATTTTTGAGTTTTCATTTTTTAATTGTGGCAACATGAATTAGCCCATTTGACCCAAAATGGTTTAATTTCTTACCACCACCTAGATGAAAACATTAATTTTCCATTTTTATGTTATTGGAATTATTAATTTACTATGTATTGATTTAATTAGTAGATTTCAGTGATGATCATAATAAGTTAACCCTTTAAATATATGATTCGACGAGGGAATTGAATAAGTTAACCCTTAATGTTAGATTTAATGAGAATGAATTGAATGCATTGAATAATAGTATTCAAATTACATTTTCTACACTCATAATAAAGGGACCATATTTCAAAAGGGGGGTATTTTAGTCAATACAAATTCTAAAAATTTTAGAGGCTATTTGTACTTGTTATAGTAATGTTTGTATGTGTGTGTGTATAAAGTTTAAATTATAATAATAAGTTTTGAACCATATATTAATATATGATGATAATCTACATATTAAATTACTCGATTTAATCAATAAAGATAATATAAGTTTTAAACTATATATTATATTTATTAAAAATCACATTTTTAAAAAATATGTTTTTCTTTTTTGATGGGGAAAAGTAAAGAATGACAGGTTCCATGGGTAGACCATGAAACCAACCTCGTAACCACCAAGGCCAGAACCGACCATGAAACTAACCATCACAAAGTAGGTTCCAGTTCTAAAAACCTAAAATTGGCCCCTAGAAGGCAGATTCTAGGTTCTACCATGAAAGCAAATCAAACCAACCCATGCTCACCCCTATTGGGAGGGAGAGGATGGGGAAAAGGTTTATATCATGTGTTGCCTGAACAAAATTTAATCAAAATTGACGCCCTCCAACATTGGGAATTAGTGTGGTCATTCCCATGGATTTAGTGATATTGTGTAGTTTGGTTCAACCTAGGCCTACTTATATTATGTAGTTTGGTTCTAGAAAATATCAAGTATAGCCACCCCAAGACTCTAAAACGTAGTAGGTTTAAAAAACATGTTTTAATCACATTATTTAGTATCATGTTCTATAAACCATATGATTTCTCCATTACAAAATTTGTTTATGCTTTAAAAGCCATTATTTTGATGATTTAGAATACATGTTTTGCTTTTGAAATAAGGTAAACTTGTTTTTACCTTTTAATTAAAACAAAAAATAAAGTTTAAGGACGTCTTTTTTTTCTTTTTTTTTCCTACTGTCACAATTTCAAAAACAAATAATAACAAAAAATCATGTTATAGAACACCCGTAAATGGATATCCACTGTAAAATTTTCAATCTGAAATGTTTTATATTTGGGCCTTTTGAACTTCAAAGACATACAACTAGCCTACTAAAAGTTTCTCAGTCTGTCAGTCAGACACACAAGTGAAAGCTTAAACGATTTCAAAGTAACATCATTATGCAGGGCGTACTTTGGAATGCTAAATTGTAGTGATGGGTTGGATGTAAAAAGTTCTAAATGATAAGTCATATTTAATAATTTCCATAGTACAAGATTATATCGTCTGGTGGACGTGCCGGAGTGGTTATCGGGCATGACTAGAAATCATGTGGGCTCTGCCCGCGCAGGTTCGAATCCTGCCGTCCACGAGTTTTTTGTATTTTTCCTCAGAAATACATTTTGGCATGCCAAATGCACACCATTGACCATACAGCAGACATTATATAAAGCCAAAATAATATTTTTTTTTATTTAATCATTTTATTCATTAAAATAATAAATCAATCATGTGACTTTCCCCTCTTCTGGTTTTCAAAGGGTGGAGGAGGGGTAGTGTTAAACAAAATAAATAAATCAGTTTCAATTCAGCTGTTATCAAAAGGCCCCTCTTATGAATTATGATATCAAATTATCAATGAATGTACAAAAGAACCACCGGCTTAGAACTTAGATTTTAGATCTTATCTCTACACCTATTTTTATTAACAAAGGGAGAAATTTCCTTCACAAAGTACTCCATTATAAACCAGTAGAAAGGTTGACAAACACCAACTCAAAACTCGGATAGCATCTGAGGATGGAGAAAGGCATTTACATTGATAGAGCATATATGTATCAACCAACCAACATGACAATCATAACCCTCAAACGAAAACATACCCAAATGAAATTGTTGTATTTTAAACTATCCACAAGTAAAGCACTTATATCTCTCTATACATGCTTCATACTTCCAACAACTAAGCCTTGTATGAACGGATGGACTCAACAAAACCACCAATCCTTTTCCTTATCTCTTCTGGATTTGCACCCACAAGCTTATCTACTGGGGTTCCCTCCTTCATCAGCACAAATGTTGGCATGGCCTTTATGTCCAGTTTGGTTGCCACCTCCTAAACCATGAAAATTAAAACGAAAATAATAAAAAATCAGAACAGAACCAAGACCCATTGATATTTTATTTAGATCCATCGTGAACTAAACACAAAATATACAAGGATTAGGAACCCCCGTGGCATACCAAATGGGTTTTGTTTGATATAGCCAATAGGTGGATTAGATTCAGATGAGCTGATTCCTGTAAATTGTGATGGTGATTGAATGAAACTAGCCTAAGTTGACCGGGTTCAACAGGAAAAGAACTATTTGGGTTTGGTCATTGAGAAGTGGAAAAAAGGGTTTGTTCAGATTGAACCATCTTTGACTGGGAAACCGAGAAACAACCTTTAGCCCGGTCTGGTTTGCAAAACTCTGACATTGATGATGACTAGGATGCACTCACTACTCGGAAAGGACACATGGATTGAATCTCCATTGGTCCACAGAGATTTCTCTGAGAGGACTCACTATAACAGGAGATAACAGGAGAGAAGATAGAGATGTAAAAGATATTACCTTGACCTCATCAACATCAACCACGAGAAACAGAACATCTTGGTAACCCATTGCCAGTTCTTCCAAAAACGATTTCATTGCAACTGAGGGAATACACCAAGCAGCAGTAAAATGCACCACAACCTTGCAACACAAAATAAATTAAGCAAAAGCAAAGTTGGAACCAGAGGAAAACAAAACGTCAAAATAAGATTGAAGAAATCCACCACCCAAAAGATAAAATGAAAATGTAATAAATGTAGATTTATCATGGAAAACAAACAGCAGTAGCTAGCACAGATACCACAAGCAAAATTATCCCAGATACCACAAGCAAAATTATCGATTTCTCAATGTAAGCATAACACTTGTCAGCCTCAGCCACCACCAGATCAGAAACATCTCACATGCAGAACAAGTGATCAATCATCAATCATCTCATCTCTCTCTCTCTCTCCCCTGTGCCCTGTTTCCTTGTTTTGGGTAATAAGCAACCAAGCAAGTATATTATATTATCAGAGGAATTGCAGAGTAGATGTACAACCAGGAGTAGCTTTCAAAAAACAAAAAAGGTGTACAACCAGAGGGAGTTGAATTTGTGGATCCATGTCTTCCTATAAAAGATCCTTGGTAAATAATCACTGTATGCACGATACATAACGAAGAGAAAACTTCAATTAACAAGGACTGTGCAATCGTCGAGGTTTTAATTGTTCGATAGAAGTTCCTCGATCAACTGATCACAATTGCCTAGGGTTCAACTCTATACACCAAAACATGGGAAGGTCGGCGGGGGCCAGTGTTGTGGTCTGTGTCTGGGTGTGCTTTTTGTATGGCAACAGTCAACAGAATTGGGAAGAGGGGACTTACAGGGCAGCCTTTATTGGTGGCTTCAGTTACAAGAAGGTCCCATGACTCCGACGATTCAACTTTAACAACCCTTGATTTCACACCCTGCTCTTGTCTTTCCATCTTTCTTCTGTGTCGACCGCTTCTTCTGATCTGCTCTTTGTTCGGAACTAGTTGTATAAAGCAGCAGCAGGTTAAAACTTGAAGTTGATACCATCTTGCCGAGGGGAGATGTTTGTCTCTTTTGTGGATGGGTATGGAACGAAAAAATCAATTGATTGAGAGATGGCCCCCACCTTGATAGCTATCTACAATAGCCTTTTCTTTATTATTATCCTTTCTCGTATAAGACAAGATGGGTAAGAGAACTCTATAAGTTTCTGTGGAGCTAGGGCAGCTGAGGTTGCAGGCTTTGCAGCGGCCCTACAATGTGACTCGTAACAGAACAGAAGGAGCCCAGATTTACTCCTCACTTTTCCTACCCGCAGTGAATTAAAGATTTGGAGTAACATCGATTAATTTATAATAGAAATGTGTGACTCCAATTCACTGCGGATAAAAAGTGGGTTAGAAAAGTGAATAGGAAATCTCGAGTGGTTTTGGCTTAGTCTTCTACCGTTGCCTACATGACTAGAAAATTAGTTTGGGTTACCACGCATGGGATAAGATTGATAATTAATGGATAAGAATTCGGTTTATACGAAGTGTTTTGAGTTTCACATCAATTCCAATTGAAATTGACATCTATTGTAAATAAGGCTCAGTTTGGAGGGAATATAAATATAAATATGTACAGTATAAATACATAAAAAATAATACAGAATGTAAGATTTTTCACTCCACATATTTGTATTTGTATTCCTTCTAAACTAACTAAAATGTACATCGCTCTAAAACACATAGACTCAAGTTGAAGCTGTGAACGGGTCAAAATTCTTTTGTGGGCCTTAGGGCTGTTCATAAGAAAGCCCAACCCGATCAATCAACTAACCCGGACCGACCCAATCCGAGTCAGCCAGGTTTTCATCGGTACGGGTCAGTTTCGGGTTGTACAAATTCCTAAATCGATTATTCGGGTCAGTTTTAGTTTTCACACAAGAAAACCGAAACCGAACCGACTTAGTTCCTAGTTCAAACATGAAGTTCTAAAGCCCATTAGGCCACCTAGTTTTTGAATGGTTGCAAGAAACTTTGGATTAGTGAATAGTGATTAATGAACAACTTTTGTGATTAACTTTTCATTTAAATTTTATCATAGGAGATGGCTGAAATGATGTTCAATTTATGACTGTTTTTAAAATTAGCAAGATTTTATCATAGAGATGAACTTAGAACCGAAACCGACCCAAACCGACCCAACCCGACTCAAATCGACCAGGTCGGTTTTGCTTAACACTGGGTTGATTTCGATTTCTATGTCAAGTAACCCGACCAGATCGAATCAATTGAAAAAATCATGGTAAACCGATCCAACCCAACCCATGAACAGCCCTAATGGGCCTTGTGGCCAATGACCTGGTTTGGCATGTGAGATATACGGGTGACCCATGGCCACACGTCACTCATAATGAACCTTAGAGCCAAAATGACTCATAAAAAAAGGTTAACTAGAGCCAGTACTCGGTACAATAAGGACCCTACTTATTATTAATCCAGTTAGATGGCGTCATAATCAAGCCCAAAAATCAGCTTTTATTAAGCTACGTGCTTATGATGGTGAATGTTCCTTTTCTTTATGTACACTAATTAACTAATCATTCGAGAACTGTTTATTAGGTAGGATTAGGTTGTTTAGTATGGATCACATTCTCAGTCTTTCAGTCAAAATCCAGATGCAGTTAGATCATGAGCAATGAGCAAGGTAGATCGTCTCCTCGCCCCACTCCAACATGGTCCCTACAACCTCCATTTGGAATTATGAAAGTTCTGAAACAAACCCCTGGTTCTTTTTGGGTTAGCCTAATTGGAATTGGGAGTGGAGGCTTGGGCTAACCTGGTTCATGGCGTGACCTTTCGGAGTAACATATTTTTTTACTCTATGTTTGGTTTGAAGAAAAAGGTAGGGAAAAGAAAGAAAAGTTTGAAAAGCCTATACAAGATTCGTGAAGGTTTTCCTAACTTTCCTTTCCTTTCTCTTCTTTTCTCTTCAAACCATACATATTAAGGTCAATTATTTGTAGAGATGCTGAGATTAAAGGTCAGTTAGTGTGGGGGAGGGGGCTGGCCCGGGCCTTTTCTGAGATTGTGCTTTGTTGGGTTTTTTTGACTTTTTGTGTTTCTTTTTGGTTTTTGGGTTGAGTATTGTTCATCTTTGCATTGTGTGGGTTCAATTGTGGGCCTAGCTCGGTCTACGGCCCGTTGTCCCGGGTTTAGGTTGCTTGTGGATGAGCCATCTTCATTGTGGATTATTCCTTTTTGTTTTTCTTTTTAATACATTCCAAAGAATGCTCCAGAAGAGTAAACGTGGGTGAGGCCTGTTGGTTAATCTTAAAACAGTTGATAAAGAGATATAGGGCTTTCTGCCCTATAGCTGTAGGATGGGTTGGACCACAATGGAACTAAGTGACATGTCATGCTGGCAGTGCATGGAAACCATTAAACTTTAGGATATGCTCTCACCCCGCTTTGTATATCGGGATACGTAACCAATCACCAGTGAATACACCAATGTTGGCAGCCATGTGTACAAAACACTGGTCACTGGTGTATTCACTCTAGATTGGTTATGTAGCTTGTTGTACATAGAGTGGCTAGCAGCAGATCCCAGGTTCCTACCATTGGCTTCGACCATGATACTGGAAAAACTTGCATCCAACTAACTGGTATTGTTAAAGAGGTGATCAATCAGGTGGTAGGTGGTGTTTATCACAATTGATAGGATGTTTTGATTGATCAGAGTTCTTCCGGTACCATGTCTTTTCGGTACCATAGATTTTCCCTCTACCATTATCGTAAACATGGAAAACAAAACCGTATCCCAGCCAACCCAATCTTCAGATCAAATTGGCGTGTCTTAGAAGTTCCAAAAATAACGGATTTAGCTCGGGTTGGGCCGGTTCCAATCCAATCCAAGCCCAAGAGTGGGTGTGGTAATTTGTTTGTATTAGATTCAGATTCCACGTGAAGGAACCATACGGAAGAGCAATGATAGCAACAATGTTGAGGTTAAGCATCGATGGGCCGGGGTGGTGTTAGAAGGCTAGAAGCTACTTCTCTTCAAGCCCAAGCTTCAGATGCTTAACCATTAAGTACGGTCTTATGAGGATCAAATCTAATTTCATATTAACCAGTTATATGCAGACAAGGACAATAGCCAGCTGGACTGCTGACCACTACCTTGATATCTGCAGCTATGTTTACAACTTCGCAAGTCCAATCTAACCTCAAGGCAAACGAACATGAGTTGTCAATTCATCATTTTCCGCCCTGCTGGACAACCTATAAGTCATGTTTAGTGAAAAGTGAAAACCGTGGTGAGCCCAAAATAACTGTCTGAAATCCAAAAACATGGTTCTCCATTGAAGCTGTTGTCATTGTCTTCTCAAAAGCAGCTCAATCTACCCTCAAGTGTCCATAAGTGGAGTGATAGAAGGATGAATTATGTCTATGGAATGAACAAATTAGGCCATGTTTGGTTTACTGTTCTGGGCCTCATTCTCTTAATTCTTATTCATTTTAGGTAAGAACGGATAAGAATGGATAACATTAGAGTGTTTGGTTACAAAATTCTTGCCTAGGGTCATTTTTTTTTTAAATGAAAAACAAGTCCCATAACACAAAAACTGACTAGCCTGCAGCATGAAAAATAATCATGCCCCATCTTGCTCATTTCATTCTTTGAGGAAACTCTACCTATAAAACTGTTGCCATTGCCATATATGTTTACTTTTGCAAAAGCACTTTTACAGAAGCACTTTTATAAAAGTACATTACTAAAGCACTTATGAAAGTACTTTTATAAAAACACTTTTACGAAAGTATTTTTATGGAAGTACTTTTATAAAAGTACTTTTATGGAAGTACTTTTACGAAAGCACTATTATAAAATTACTTTTATGAAAGTACTTTTATAAAAGCACTTCTATAGAAGTACTTTTACAAAAGCACTTTTATGGAAGTAATTTTATAAAAGCACTTTTATAGTACTATTACAAAAGAACTTTTATAAAAGCACTTCTACAAAAGTACTTTTATGAAAATACTTTTACGAAAGTACCTTTATAAAAGTACTTTTATGAAAGCCCTTTTACAAAAGTACAAAAGCACTTTTAGAAAAGTACTTTTATAAAAGCAATTTTACGAAAGAACTTTTATAAAACATCTATGCCAATTGGTAAACATTAACTATAGGAGACCTAGGCTGGCGGTTTGTGAATACCGACACAATTTTTCTTTTTTTTTTTTTATTTTGAAGAATGAAAACGAGCAAATAGGACACTTGTCAGTTTGAAAAGAATTCATTTTAGGAAAAAAAGTGTTTGGTTCATAGCAATATTTGCTCATTCTACCTATTTTTACCCATTCTTTTCCATTTTAGAATTTCATCTTGGATAAGAATGAGAAAGAATGAGAATTGAACTAAATATGGCCTAATATCCAATTAAATGATAAGTTTTTGTTCTTTTTTGCTTTCTTATTCATTTGTATTTTTGAGTTTACTCTTCATTTATGTTATTCAAAAGAGTCTCACATTATCTCCAATAGATGATAAAAAAAAGTAGACTAAGGTGATTTGGTCATGTGTATAAAATAACATCAATAATATTTGTAAGAAGTGATTCAACAATAAATCCGAACTATTCAAATATACTGATAATTCGAATATCTAATCAGTCAAATTCAGATATCCTATTCATATCAAATAGCTAATCGGGTTCGAATTCAGATATGACCTAATTCGATTTGATTCAATAAATATTCGAATTCGACTAATTATTTAATTCTTACGTATAATATATAAAATATTTAAATGTTTTATAATTTATAAATAAAATAATTAAATCATATAAATAATTTATATATCTATATACTTTATATAAATCAAATATTGATTTTATATATTTATTAATTACCTAAAATAATTAATTGGTCAAATTCGAATCAAATCAAATATTTGAATATTTAATCAAATTTGGATATCGGATTGAAATTTGGATATTGCCTTATTAGATTTGAATTTGATCTATTTATACCCCTAGTCTCATGTGTACCCTGCTTTATT